TGCTTGGGGAGAGAGGATGATTAGAGGAAATTTAGTACCTGAAAAGAGCAAATCTTGATCCCTGGTGCTACTCAGCTGTTCGGATCTTGTGAAGTACTTGGGTAGCATGACCATGTTGCTGAAAAATGGTTATGTCCCTCTTGCCGCCACACAGCAGCCACTGCCCTCTTATCTAGCCTGCAGCAGCAGCACGGCGGGGTTGGATAAGCTGGAGGCATGGTGTGATGTTAGCCATTTTTTTTTCCCTTACAATTTTTTTTCCCCTTACTATTATAAGGTGAGGATTTGGATTGCCAAAGAGGTTCCTGTTTAAAAGGTGTAAAACACCCTAACGTTACCACTTTGGTCTTGCCACATCTGCCAAGAAGCAAATGTAGTAATGGGTGGAGAAGAGAAAAGCCACACTAAAGAGATTGCTTCTGGAGTTGGGGGTGCAGATTTACCCCATGATTTGCTCCTGAGACTTACAGAGATGTCCCTGGTTTGTGAGAAGCCATCGGCTGTTTGCTCTTTCATTAACTGTGGAGTCTTGCAGCCTTTCCCATCTCAGCTTTTGGAGGCGAGGTGCCTGCTGACTTTCACTGTTCATGTCACAGGTTGGTTCCTGTAAACTGGTTATTTTTATTTCTAATATGTCTCTGTACATGGGGGCTCATTTGTTGTTGGTCTGCGTGTAGACTGGGTCCTAACAGCCTGAATCCCCTGAAACAAGGTTAACTCTTTTTTTTTTTTTTTTTCCTTTTCTAAGTGAGCCCTGCATGACTACTTAAGATTTACGCTTGCTGGGCAATGTTTACCCTGGCTTCTCTTTCCTGGATACTCTATTACTCATTACTGTTCAAATCCAAGCAAATAAATGAATGACTTTTGCTATGGCAACAAGAATCTGGTGGCTGAACAGCACAATATTCCCTGAAAGCCTGCCTTATTCTTAGTGTGTGTCTGATGGCTGGGCAGAGTATTAATATGTAGATACATGGGTTTGGGTCAGACCCTGGTTTTGTGACACAGCTCTGGGTGAAGCATTCAGCTGAGTAAATAGCGACAAATCCCTGCAAATGTCTGCAGCTGAAGGGTGCAAAATTCTTCCATCCCACAGCTGGCAGCTGCTGCTGAGGCAGGAGCGGGGGAAAGAAAACAACCCCTGTCGCCTTTTGTGTTTCCATAGAAGTCCATATGGTCTCATATGGTCTGGCAAGGGGCTGCTGACTGTGCAAACCTATTGTTTGTGCCATTACTAGGCTCTTGATTTTTCTTTTTAGATGGTTCCTGGAACTGAACATGCCTGTATTCCCTATGCACAGTGCTTATTAACTGCTCAGAGGGTTTCTTAAGGCAGCTGTATCCCATGTATCCCTAATTTTGCCTGAGTAAGTTGCCCTCCTTCCGCTGGATGAAGCAGAGCTGCTTTGTGCTTCCCCTGAAACCGCCTCGTGCCTGGGGAGGGGAACCCCTGGGGGAACTCAGGCCATGCCACGGCAGGTTTATTGCTTTGAGTTTTGGGGCTGCTTTCGGGGCTCCCGCTCTGCATGGGCAGGGTTGACTGACTGCCCTGGGGGTGTCTGCAGAGCCTGTTTGCCAGAGTCCAACCCTGTGCCAGTGCCTGCTTGTTCCTCCGGTGTTTGCTTTGCCTGGGTGTGTCCCAGTGCTTTATTGCAGAGAGGCCATAGGGCTCTTCCTGCTCCAAGGTAGCAGCATGCTGGGTGCAGGGGGGTGGGATGCTACCGTAGAGCAAGCCAACATGTTTTTTTGGGGGGGATCTTGTGCTAGGGTGCACTCATGCCAGGCAGGACTGCCTGGTGTCAGCCTTCGCATGGGCTGTGCTGGCCCAACAGAGGTCTTGCTGAAGCAGCAAATTATCTTGCTACGAGCTCTCCCCAGGCTGGGGCCCTGGGTGAGTGGTGCTGGCACTGCTGTGGTTAATGATTGCTCTTTTTGAATAGCTTCAAGATTGCCTCCTACAGCATTGTGGCCTCTCTGCTTCAGGTATCCATGAAACCCTGGTGGCAGAGCGTTCTGCAGGACACCCAGCCCAGCTCCAGGGAGCGAGCATGGCCCAAGTCCAGTTGGCTGTGGGCAAGTGGGAGCTGCTTTAGTTCAAGGCTTAGGCTGAGCTTAGGCTGCGCTGTTGGCATGCTGCCTCTGGGCTCTGTGCTGGGGGCTGTGTCCTGGTCATTTCTGCTGCTTTCTACTCTTTGTCTTTACTCCCTGGTTGAAGCTGTTTTCTTCTCTTGTACTACATGCAGTCATTTTTCTTAGAGAATTCCTCCCGTTAACAGAAAACCAGAAAAACAGTTCCATCTCCCAAGCTTAAATTCTAAAAACAAGGCACATCTGTCCCCTTTATTTTCCATGTTTAGCCAAGTACTTCTTGCCTTTCAACACAGTTGCTTGCACTGGTAAGCATGCACTGTCTGGTTCTGGGATAGCTTCTGAGCTTCCAGGAGCCCATGGCACCTCAACCCTCGTGGCCTTCGTGCCTGGCAGCGTGGCTCGTCCCCGCAGTACAGACACCACATTGTGAGCTGTCCCTGCCCTCTCCGCTGCCTGGTTTGGATCAGGGAGCATCTAGGTCAGCAGCGGGGGTGAGAAATTCTGGGAACAGCAACTGGGATGCTCTGATCTTCAAGGTCATTTTATTCCAACCCCTTTTTTCTGAAATACAATCATTCCCCTCCCCATGTGTCATCTGGGGAAGGTCAGAGCAGCTGTGGCCAGGGCTGGGGCAGGGAATGGGGAAAGGCAACTGGTTGCCCTCTCTGTTATTTCCATCCTTCTCCTGGGAGAGTGGGGAAAAGAACCAGCCTGTGTCCAAATTACAAACCCAGACTCGGGCAGAGTAGCACGCAGCTCCATCGGGCGTATTTGCAGTGTGGAGGAGGTATTAGGTACTCACTCCATTACCTGGATTTCATTCGAGCTTCCCTAGTTGCTTTTCTGAAAAGCAGCAGTGAAGTGATTGCTGTCTTGCCTTGAAAACCCTTATCACCCACAGAGCTGCAACGTGTCTGTCTGTGGGCCACGCAGGATAACGCTGTCGCAGGCTGGCTCCCGCTCACTGCCGGTTTGCAGGCCCTGTCCCCCTGTGTGGTTGCAGGTTCAGCTTTGGCGGGGCTTGCTGGCGGCAGCAGCAGCAGCATGGCACCGGTGCTCCGTGCACAGGAGATGCAGAGAGATGGCTGCTGTTGCAAGAAATACCTTGCATCTGGGCAGCACATGCAGTGCGTGCTTGCTTGCTGCTGCTTGGGGCCACGTGCTGTTTCTCAGGCTGTGGTGTATTTTGTATAGGAGGAAAACTGCAAATAAAGCACATGGGGCAAATGTGCTGCACTTTCTTCTTGACAGTCATTATTCGGGAGAGGTCTTCTGAACCATCCAGCTCCTACCGCCTGTCACAAGCAACCACGTCCTTTTAATTCTGTTCATAATCCTCTTAGCTTCATTTTAAATGTAGATAGAAGTAAAGGGATCACAACGCCCTCCTAGGCAGCTGGTCCTGAACCTTGATCTGCGTTGGCTGGATACTTTTGGCGTAAATTTATTCCTGGCAAGCTTATCCTCCTTGTTTGTCTGTTGTACGCTGGCATCAGCAGTTCTTCTCTGCTCTTCCGTGTTTATTTTCTTTGTGTACTTAAAAAGAGCTGTTAATGCTTTTTCTCAACCTTCATTTTTGCCAGTGGGAACAGGCTGAGTCTCCTCTCCGCCTGTTGAGGTGACTTGTAACCAGATCTTGTAAGCAGAATGGTAGATAGTGATTAGGACACGTTAAGGCTGCAGGGCAACAACCCTTTCCCATAGCTTTTCCATTCAACTTGGAAGAGGACATTTGGAGTTACTGTGTCTGGGTGTCCCACTACAGGAGAGATGCAGAAACTGGAGCAAGTCCAGGGGAGGCTAAAGTGCTCCTGGGGCTGGAAGAGATGGGAGAAGCTGAGGGAGCTGGTTTATTCAGCCTGGAGGAGAGAAAGGGGGACCCCCCATGCTGCCTTCCCCTACCTGCAGGGTGTTACAGGTGGGATGGAACCAGGCAGTCCCTATGATTCTCAGTCCCTCATATGATTCTATGATTTCCAGTGGAAATGCCCTGCTTTATTCACGGTTTATTTAAGCAGTATCCTAATGATGATTACAGTCCTGTAGCCAATCCAAAATTTTCTTTTTAAGTTATTCATAGGTGATGAACTTCTCTTAGAGCAAGGGTTGATCTTAAATATTGTCCCATTTCTAGTGTTCTTGCCCTCCAGTTTTCTGAATGACCCATGAAATTCTGTTTTTTCCTTGATGAACTCCCATGTTGGAGTCATCTTTGTGCTCAGCCTCACAGTTACTGTGCGAAGGTCACTAGTGAGAATACTAGATAAAACTGGTTTTGAAGCAGAACCTTTAAGTACCTCCCACTTGTCCAGTATTTTCCCTCTCTACTACAACCTGTTACCATCTCTTCTTTAGCTGCTTCCATCTTCTCACTTTTGGTATGAAACCCTGGTTTGTTTGTTTTTTTTATCTAGCTTAAATAGCTTTTTGCCAGGATGTCCTCCCAAAAATGTAGTCCTGATCACTGAAGTTTCTACTGTCTAGAGCATGGGTACACAAATAACTTGGCTGGCATTAGCGATGTCACCTTTCCAACATGTGCATGCTTTCCTATCGTCCTTGGCAACACTGATCCCTCCTGAGGGACGCTCTGGCAGCTCCTCCTGCCTGCCGGGCATCAGTGTTAGATGATGGCAAAGCATGTGCTGCAGCAAAAAGCCTGAGGTACTCTCGACCTCTCAGCCTCCTGACTCCATCTATCTATTTGGCTATCTGCCTTTATGGTTTCTTCTCTCAGTGCAGTAAGAGATTTGGCAAGGCTCAGGGGGAAAGGTGGGGGGATACGCAATCGCTCCTTTTAAATTGAGGTGAAGCCCTGGGGTGGGAGGTGGTCTTTGCTGGAGCAAATGTTACAATCGATGGCTTCTTGTGCTGCTTTCTAATAATTCTCCTTTGCTGTTGTCTAGATGAAGATCTCCTTCAATGAGACAAGTTTGCAGACTATGTTTGAGTACCCGTCAGAGAGCTCACTGGCAGAAGAAGAGGAGGAGGAAGAGGAAGAACATGCTTCTGAAACAGAGGAGGACAAGTCTTGCACCTTTTATGTTCCGCGCCCAAATAGCACTTTGCATCCCAATGCACCTAACTCTGGTGAGCAAGGCACTGTGTTGGCACTGTGGGGTTACTGGTGCTGTCTGTCACTGTCCACATCTCCTACAGACCCTCATGGGGCTCCACACAGGTGGAAATGCTAATGGAGGTGACTTCTGACAGCAAAACTGGGCCTTGGTGGGGACAGGGCTTGAACTGGGACAGGTAACTGCAGATGGGCAGCTTCCATGCTGTCCCTGCCAGGATCCTGATCCCACTTCCCTTTGGAACAGCGAGAAGTATTCATGTCAGCTTTGTCCTTCCAGCAGATTTATCCAGCTACACCCCAAAGCACTCCGTGAAGTTCAGCGAGTGGCAGGAGCAGAAATATGAGGAGATGCCTGCCACAGAGGGACCCCTCCCAAAGGAAGCTGATTCCCATGGGAACCAAGTCATGGTGAGACTTTAAATAAGCAGGTCTTGGCTTTGTCCTGCTCTGCTCTTATCCCGGTGCTTACATTGGTCTGGACGGTGAACGGGACAGGACGTGCCTTCCACTGAACACCTGTGTGTGTGTTTGCTGCCTGGGAAGGTGTGCCACCGCTCACAAAGGGATCAACACAGGGTCCCACTGCCACTAAGCAGACCTGCCTCTCCCAGTGTGTGCCAAGTAGACTTAAGGCAGCTGGCACACTTCTTACTCCAGGCCACGTTTGGAGCGGGGAATTAAATGTGCTTATTAGCCCCGGGCAAGGTGCCAGTGTCGCCTTCACCGTCCAAAGGTGTGGGTACTCATTTGCTTTGGATCTGATGACATGTCCATGTCAACTCTGCTTTCTCCCCAGCTCACCCCGGCAGAGAAGGGTGGACTCTCAGATTTCAGCAGCGAGCCTGCTCTATATTTTTGATCGCTTCATCTTCTAGCCTGCAGCAGCGGCTGCTGGACAAAACGTGTCAGTGCACCTTCCAAATGTCCATGCAAGCACCACGGAAATAAGCTTCTGGGTCCCTCCCTCACCACCATTTTCATTGGATCCTGATGCCAAGAGTGGACTAGATGCTATTGGGCATCTTTGGAGAATATTTGCACTGGGTTCTGGGACCTAATTACTACTTTTAAGGTGTATGATTTATTCTACCTGTGGCCTTGCATATTCCTTGTTCAAGATCAGCTGCCCATTAGGCAAGCTTCTTAAGAACAGATCTGTAATCCCAGGGTGGATGTAGATTCTCTCAGTGCTTATCCAAGTCTGCCCATCCAGGCGCTGTACAGGGTCTGGATGGCTTTTGTAATGCTTCTCCCATCAGAGGCCCCAGTGAAGAACAGTTCTGGAGTTGAAGCATTGGGAGTATCTGGGCAGTTTAGTTGGATTCACAGAAGTGGTTGTGATTTGACAACTAGATTGGGTGTCAGTTTGGAAAACCATTGAAGGTTCATGGTTTGTTCTCAGCATGTTTCTGGGTGTAGTTTCTCTGAACCATCATGGAATTGATGTGCCAGTTATGTTCTTGTGAAGGAAGCCGAAGAAGTGTGAGGGTTGGGAGGGGGAATAAATGCCTTTAGCTTTAGGTGGCATTTTTGCACTGATCTGTAAAGAAGTGTCCAGACTGGCTTGAGCCTGTTGAAGATTCCCAAACATTTGTCATCGCTTTGATCTGTCCGTGCCGAGCGCTGGCATCCAGCCTCTAATAACAGCTGATTGTGCTTCAGTTTGCCAGTTCCCCTTGTTGCTTTGTTCCAGCATCTAACGGGGCCAGGCCCAAGATTTATCTGTCTCAGCTGGCGGGGAGGCTTCCTTCTTGCCGTGCTTGCTCTGCTCCTCTACAGCCAAGTGCAGGAGGGCCATTTCACTCCTTTATTCTGCAGAACTTGAACATGGAATATGTTTGTTTTTTTCTAGGATTTTTATAGTTCTATTGTAATTGTTTAATGCAGCCAATATGCAAAAGAATCGGCTAGACTCTTCCATTTAAGTTTTCTACTACTGTAAACTCAGGGTCAAAATTGCACTCTGAAAAAGACGAAACACTGCTGCTAATGTGATTTGTACTTCTGGGATTAAAAGAGATGCGGTTGGAATAGATATGGCCTCTTTGGGCTTCATGAAGCAAGTGGTACCCCAGCACATGGCTCTACCCAAAGGAACAGGCTGGTATCTTTGATTAAATTTGATACTTTTATTGCTTTGTCTCTTACATATAGATGATGAACGTGTAGTCAAGCTGACACTGGTCTATGAACTGAAAATGCTCTCCATACCTTGCACCTGGTTTGGTGTATATTGTAGCAGCAGGAGGAAGGTGGTTCTGCTGAAAAACAGTCAGGACTAAATGAAATGTTAGGACATGCCTACTGCTAGCTGTTCTCTTGTGCCCTGGGTGCCTAAATATTTCTGGAAAGATAATGCAAAAAAAAAAAAAAATCCCCCCAAAACCTCAGCAGTTCATTAACTGTTGGCTGCAGGGGCCACAAAGGAACACTTCACACTTCCCTGCACTTGTAAGGCTTGTCCTTTTCAAGCTAACTCAAGATCTGCTCACCGTGTGACCTCCCAGGAGCAGAATGTGGCTGGCAAGGATGACATGACACAAGAACCATGGAAAGAGCCGTGAATCCCATGTGCTGAGGCTTCTCCCGTTAATGAAGTACTTCAGGACAAGGTGCTGAGACTGGGGCAGAATGAGGAAAAATGCAGGACTGCTAGTGACTGCTAGACTTAAGGGACAAGTAAGTTACCAGATTTGTGGAGTTAAACACTGAGCAGTGCCCGCAGCCAAAGGAGGTCAGAGATCATGTTTGAAGAAAAGGTTATGCACAGCTTTTCTAGCAGAAAAGGCCCCAGTGAGCATCTTGCACTGTGGAAAAGCTCAGGCCAGTTTAAGGCAGCTCTGTGTCTCTCAATTTTTAACTTAAAAAAAATGCAGGTGGTGAAGCAAAAGCTGCTTGCAACTCAAGTTAGGGACAAGGCATCTGAGCTAGGTGCTGACTTTGTTCTGCTGTGGATCAATGAGGAATACTAAAGCCAAGAACATCCTACAGCTTGTTCCACTGTCTTCAGCCAAGTGAAACGCTGCTCTGTACACTGCCTGCTCTTCTCAGTGAATCAGCCCTGTGATTACTTCTCTGGCTAGGACAGGCTCAGTGGAGGCGTGAGAGCGGAACGTGCCTCTCAACAGGAGCATGGGATACCCTGGGGCGCTGCTGAATTTTCCTTCCGCTTTGCCTGCTCTACCTTGTAGCTGTAATTTGCACCTCACTGAGTGCTACCTTTATGCTTCCCAGCTTTGTACGCTAAGCCCTGTCTGTACCAGGTGAACTCTTAGCTTGTTCTTGGCAAAAAGCGAGGTGAATGCTGTTTTGAGGGCAAAAGCATTAGCTGGGGAGTCACCTCTGTGGATCTGTTCAGTATCACTGTGCTCAAAATAAAGGTGTGGGTTTTTTTTTTTTTAGAGGCCTACCCTGATCTCTAGCATTGGAGGATTAACTTTCAGTATATCTCTAGCTAATACCAAAGTGCATCTCAAAGGAAAATTTACTTCACTTCTGCAAAACAAAGACTTTTATTAAATGTGGCATCCTTGTACCAGAACAGCAGCTGTCCCAGACCAACAGGACTTTCCAGGTTGAAAAGCCAGTTTAGGAATGCTTTTGTCCATGTGTTTCTTTTTCTTTTGAAGTGCTTTGTGGCTCACTGGCTTTACTAGCATTCTCGATTTCTCCCTTCAGGACATCTAGCAACATCTGAGAACTCTCCAGAATCTGGGAAAGAAAGAAATAAAAATAGCTTATTTTTACATAAACTGTTTCTCTTATGAGTTCCCTTCAAATTCAGCTGATCTACCTTGCACCAAGAGGGATTCTCCAGCCTTACACTCTAATTCTTGGTGACTTATAGTGAGATACACTGTGGGGATATCTATGGAGGAATACAAAACACCTTAAGCAATTTATCTGTCTTGGAGCACAAGGTAGAGAACTTCCTGAAGTAGGCTGGGGGCTGAACTTTAGTTTGTTATTAAGGGAGATGTTGATACCTGGGCTTTTTAGATCAGTATTACACTGTGCTCAGCTGACTGTTTCAGCTGTCTTCCACTGTTAGAACTGCCTACTTCAGGTTTCTTGCTTAAAAGACTCAACTCTACAATGACCTTAAGTCAGACTAAATCTTTCCTTTTATTAATTTTCTTCTTGTTTTAGCTTATGTTGTATATAATCTAGCACTCCCCCTTGCTCTGCACTAGGAAGCATGGCTACAGCAGGTTTAGATCTTGCTGCCTGTCCATCTCACCATTTTAAAGTCTTAACACTGTGGACAACTATAATAAAATGCGATAGTAGGGTTGTACTCCCAAAGATCATTTATGTTCCTGTGAACCTGTGGAAATCACTAAGTGGTCAGAGGAGAGATGAAGGTAAGTGTCCCACAGGATGAGACACCAGTAGAACATGTTGGTGGGGTCTTGCTGTCTTGTCCATGGAAGAAGGTGGAGTCCTGCGACTGTCGCGGGCTGGGGGAAGGCAAGGAGTGTGATTACAGACAAGAGATGTATATCCACAGGAAAGGAACTTGGTTACTGGTTTCTGTTCACAGGACGTCTGCATTTCCTCTCCTACCTACCTCTGCTTTTACTTGCTGTGACTGTCTTCATTTCAATAAACGTGAATTCATTTGTAGGCTGGGGGGGTGTGACTTGTATCTCAGGGAAGGTTTCTTTTAAAGCGTGCTGTTTGTTCATGTAGCTTTACACCACAATTTCTAAGCTGTTATTTTTTTATGCAAGTTCCCCTCTTCACCCCCAAACCATCAAGTCTTGAAGTAGGCTGAGAAAACAGCTCCAGCCTCATCTGAAAAATAGTTGTCACTGGAAAGCACTGCATTGGGGAGATGAAGAGGATCTGATGCAGAGTAGTGACCACATTAAAAAGAGATGCATGGGAAAAGGTGAATGTAGGTGGCAGCTAATGGGGAAGGGATGCTCTTGAACTGAAACAGCTTCCCCCACAGAGGGAAGATCATTGCTTATCTGAAAGCTAGCTGGAAAGATCCTTTCATTTTATTTTTTTTTTTAAAAGCTGGTCAGTGCTTAATTCAAAGTGAGTTCAGCCGTTATCCTATGCGCAGGATGAAGCAGCCCCTGCCTGGCGGAGTTTAAAAATGTAGGGCAGGAGAAGAGATGGAGCCATCCCGGCAACTGAAATAACAGTAACTCGTGCTGTTCCCCTCCTTCCCACCCCATTAGTGGTCCAACACTTCTACTTTTTAAAATGCTGTTATTCCATCAAAGATGGAAGAAGTTACATGAAAAGTTGGGCAAAAAGAGCACCTAGTAAGCTAACAGCTCTAGCATCCTGGCTTCTTGTTACCAGCATGAATTCATGGCCTTCTGGGTCAATGTCTCTGGTTTTCTCCTTGCCCCCCCAAACGATGGTTTGTGAGGTCTTTTTTTAGGGGCCCATTCCAAGGCCCATCTTGATGTATTCTGACAACGTGCTTTAACGTAACCTCCACTTTCCCTCCCTCGAGAGGCGCTCGGTTGAGCTCGCCGCGCGCCGAGCCCCGGGGAGCCGTGCGAGGGCCTGGGCGGCGGGGGATGCCTGTGCCTCCCCCGGGCTTCGCCTCCCCGCGCTCAGACAGCACCGAG